CACACGGAATCCGCCCGGGGGTTAGGTGGGCACACCCGGGATGTCGGCGGATAAAGGTTTGGCAAGTTGCCGGGACAGCGCGGGGTCATAGCTCCACAATGCACGGCCCACGGAACCACACTACATGAGTCCCCTTTCTACCACCCCATACCACACGATAACCACTCTGCCCACAGCTCGCGTCCGTTATTTCTCGCGTTCTTTATTGCCCACCCACCCCCCCTGGCAAACCCCACTGGCGCCCCCATTGCCGCATCGGGAAACATCGGTGGTAACGATCTCCCGTGGCAAGGGCAGCGGCTTCCCATGCACCGCCGCTTTCGGCTTGGCTTGGGCTAGTACGAGTGTTGTAGATGGATGTATTATATCCGTCGCGTGAGGTATGATAACCAATACGATGCTGTGCTTTTTCTTACCATGCTTCACGTGACGGATATATCTATCGGCTGCTCTCACAAGAGCCGCGGTCGCTTGATTACTCTCCTATGAGTTACTCGAGCCTCCTCCTCCGGCACTGCATAAGGTATGATCGCTAAAAATCACGGTTTCTCACTCGGATCTTTATAGCTGCCTGGTCGCACAAGGTTCTGCTTGGCAGCATGTGCTGTGCTTGGCAATGTCTCAGGCCTGCATGCTGAGCTGCACTAGCCGATTTTTAAAGTCTCCGGAATGGAGGTGATGGTAAGCTATACCAAGACTCAACTTACGTATGGATCACTTAAGACCTCTCTCACCAGTTTTCCTGTAGGTGATTCACCTTTACCAAGGTAGCACTTACACCACGACCTGATAGCTTACACCTAGCCATTCCGGAGACTTTAAAAATTGACTAGTACTCGAGTACAACACGGTTGGCTGAATACGGTACCCTTTGGGATCGGGAGATCCCCGCGTTTGGGTAGTCTCACGCTTGCAGCGGGATTTTATTGCATTATCCTAATTGAGAAGTGCCCATAGAGATGGCTTTAGTGATTATTCTTCAGACTTCTACCCACTTCTCGCATAGATAATACCTAAGCACTTGTAATTTTTGCTCTGCTTTCGTGGCTTTTATCCGTGTGAGATCACATTACGGGTAAAGTTTTTGACCCGCATAGTACTTGCACTCGTGCGGCCTGGCCTGCAAAATTCCCACCCAGGCCCGGGTATTAAAAGTCCCTGGGAAAGCTTTGCTTGTCCCCTCTTTCCACTCTTCTACTATTCGATGAGAAATAAATTGTGATGAACATGTACCGCGCCCCGAGAGACATATCCACCAGTTATCTAGGCGGCTCATGTTCTGCCGGTGCAGATAGGGATCGGTGCTCCAGCGTGGCTATCCGGGCACCAGTAAAAGCCAGATTATTGCACAGACGAGGCTGTAACAAAATCCCAGTGAAATAGATTTCTTTTCCATCCCACTACCGTAAATGGACCCACCCTCTCACTCGAGCAGTTGACGTGCTCGAATCTGCTTGTCGTTGGGAGACACTGCACACGGTAAGTCTCAGGCTATTTGATTGACCCTTACTGCACTAACTAATCAACAAAAGTGCAATTCATTTCGAGGGTAATTAGAAAGCTCCGCCCCCCCCCCCACCCGATTTTTGAAATTTGTGTTTTTATGTCCGCTCTCCCTCCGAATCCTGGGCCTGGATTATATAGCGACATAACTCCCTAGATTTATCATGAATTCAGAGTAGGTTTCTTACTCTTCGGTTTGCAGCTTTTCGGTTTCTGCTTTTTCTGAAAGTCGAGAACTGCTCCTGGAGATCAAGATACCAGCAATACAATGGGGGAGGAGCCTACAACACCTTCAACACCGGTGCAGCTCCCTACAGGCGGAGAGAGTGATCTCCCTACACCACATGAATCGTATCTCGTTTCACCGGACGAGTTCGGAGACCCGCAAAAATTACCAGAGGGGCTTGGCCACTTACCGCTCTACCCAGAAAATGATGGTTTTTACTGTCAATGGCCCACCGGTCCTTACCCCCCTTTCCCCTCCTGGCCCCCAGCCCTGCTTAAATAGTGGTGCTGTTAGCAGGGTTGCTAATCTCCCCTAAACTCAGACTCTCCCTGCCTCTTGCTGACCAACCCCTGTAATCATTTATACAGTGTGTGCACGAACGCGCCCCGTGAGGAATGGTTACATCTGCAACCAGCCGGGTTGCACTTGGCCATCCCGATTTCCAACTAAGTAGGCATTAAATCGCCACTACGAAGTTAAGCATCTCACCAGAAGACTGGACTGTCCGATAGCGGGGTGCGATAGGGTCGGGTCTAAAGGGATCAATAGAAAAGACAACCTTCCCGTTCATCTCTTCAGTAAACACGGGGTGCTGATCGGCGGGGGCCCGGCAGAATGTCCGATCCCGGGGTGCGGCAATATCGGAGACAACGCGATCTGGGGACGGAATAACCTCCCCGCTCATGTATTCAATAAACAAGGGATAAAGTTGCCTCCTCAATCCCGCGGGAGTCAGGCGAAAAAGTGGTGATCACGGGGACAACTCCTGTCAATGGGTTCCAGTTTTTGATGTGACCGAAAATGCCTTGGCGATCGGCACACATGTTCCTGGGTCAATTTGCGATGATAGAGGATGTGTCCTGACATCCTTTTCTCTCTTTTCCTGCTCCTTCACCCGCCTCACTTAGCGACTGGTTGGCTTTGGATCTCTGATTGAATTACATCGGATACCTCCCGCATCCAAGCGATGCTAAGAATGAGGGGCTGTCAGCGCTGAGTGTTTCCTCGAATTAGATCAAGAGTATTTAACGGAAAACGCGGTCTAGATCCTTTTTATATTTTTCCTTCCTTACCTTTCAAGACAAAACAATTACCACAGTTTTTTATCTAGAGATGTCCCTGTGCCTTCTGAATAACCATACCAGTACTATCGATTATTCTAAGAGTATGTAGGGATACTGCTACCCGAAGTATAAATGTGGCGATAGTATGTCCGGGGGAGTAGAAACTTATGGCCGTATCGAAACCAACTACTTCTCAACGTATTCTTCTCCTCTCCCACTTATTTCTCCCACCCCTTAAGCCTCGCCCGTCTCATCCTACCATCCTCATCTACCTTCTCTCCACCACAACCCAACCTCCGCCACCATAAACAAGCTAAACCGTGCTCCCAGACACCACTCGCCGGTGGCATCAGACCCATATTCACTTCTGTAGCCATTACTATGTAATTTCGGGAGCTGCCTGTTTCCTTGGACTCCGAGCCGGTAATTTTCTCGACGATTATCCCTGTTAGTAGCCCACGCCACCGCGGAGAAGTTACTAGCCAAGGAGATTAGGAAGAGTCTGATGACGCGGTGTGAGAGCAGACAATGTGGCGAATGCTCACTAAGCGTTAAGGACATGATACGGGGGGGGGGAGGCGAGATCTTCCGGGAGAGGAGGGGATGCAGTGTTTTCTCCGGTGGAACTGCTGTTAAGGTTAATTTTGGTGGCTGTGATAGCGGGGGAATTAGTTGTACTTGGCCGTTGATTATTATCCGTTGTTGTTGCTTGTACAGCTTGGTATTGCCGAATGAGAGAGACTTTGGCCGTGGTGAGGATTGCTGCTGTAGTCGGATATGTTCATGGTCGACTCAACTTAGTCTCCCGAATCCAACCCTTATCAAATGGCCCTACTGCTCTTGCCGGAATCCGGTTTCTCGTTGAGACCTGGGCTTTATGGTAGTGGGACGTGAATATCCGGGGCAGTTTCTCGGTGTAAACCATAGTGAATATTAGCGCATAACGTGTTCTTCGCGGGTAGAAATCACTCAAGTAGTTTGAAGGGGAATGCAACGCTTCCGTGTTGACTGGCTATGGGCTCCCAAAAGAGACCGGGCGAGTGCTTGATGCCCGTGGTCTAAGATCCGGCAAGGAGGAGAAAACCCAGCCGGAAAAATGGAAAAGAAGAAAAGCGGAACTATTCAGTATTCTGGACGCACCAGACCTTACGGGATGGAGCGGCTACAACTACACAATATATAGCTCGGCTTCTAGGGATCGCTGGGGAGTGAATTGGAATCCTGTTGGTTTCTGTGGGCTGTGCTGCTTGAGCCGGTCTTGCCAACGTCCCTGCCTTGGCAGTTGCTTCATTAACTGTCCCTTAACATGATAAGTCACCGTGCATCATGGTTGGGTGATCGTATTTAAAGTTAGAGTGGGATGGAACGGTAGTTAATTCTCAGGTACTCGAGTATATTCTTGCGGAACAATCAATTGTGCCATAAGTGAATCACTTATTCATTTCCCATTCTGGAGACTTTAAAAAACGTTGAGTGGTTCGGTAGGCTTTGGTTTCATGCTTGGCCCGGGCCGCTGCAGAGGGGGGGGGGATTAGGAAAAATACGACCAGGCTGTATAAGGCACTCCCCTAAGGGCTCTAGCAGCTCCCAATTCAGAGGTTCGCCAGCGAGGTAGGCTTCCAGTTGCCGGGGGGGTATCGGTATTTTTACGGGGTAGAAAACGAGTGATGGTTGATGAGTAACTCGCGCCGTTTATTAGTGGTGTATTTGAACCGGCGTAGATACTCGAGTACATACTCAAGTGGCCGGATTGAAATCAGAGGGTGGCCAAGCGAGTTATGCGGTGGGGGCTTCTGATTTCAATCCGGCCACTTGAGTAGTTTGACTAACACCGCCTTTTTCAGATTCTATCAGCACACTATAACAAAATTGGAAGAGCAAACTAAGTACTAGGAGGACCGAAAACTCGCCGTCCTCACTCCGACAATAATGGGGCGCTGTACTATGTATACCGTGCTCTACATTGGATCACTCGGTGGAAATTTTTGGAATGGCAGCCAGTGCAACCGTGAAAATATTCTATGATGTGCCCGCCCATTAAAGGAAACCCTTATAATACTGTATCACATACAGTGTTGTAGCCAAAGAGACGGTAAACACCAAACCGAGAGGGAAATGAGTGGAGATGACAAAACGCCGTACATGACTCACGTAGCAAATCTTATTCTCCGGAAATCCAAGCTCACCAAGATAACGCCCATAGGAATTCAATTTTTAATACTGATTGGGGGTAGTAGAGGAATCGTGATTTGGGAAAACTTCAATTCTGTTCCGGCCGGTGCAACCCTGATTCTGGCTACCTCACTATTCCTTATTTCTCCGCGAATCAATCGCTCCGCCAAAGGGTTCAACGATTTCTTGCCAATAAGGCGGTTCAAGGGTCTTGCGCCGTATCGAACATCGTAGCCCTTCTCGCTGAGCCAATCCTTCGCTTTAACATCTATGTCTAGTTTGATCCGGCGATCGTCAAGCTTTTCCTGCAATTCCTTCAATCGAATATCAACAATATCCCGAATAGCACCCTTCGAGAGTCTCCGGAAAATTATAAATTCGTCAATCCTGTTTAGAAATTCTGGTGGATAGAAATGCTGCGCGATATCCATGACCTGCTGCTTGGCAGCTCGGGATAATGCGATGTCTGAGGATGGATCATTGATAAGGATGTCTTGGCCGAGGTTGGACGTGAGAACTATGATAGTGGAACGGAAATCGACCTTCCGACCTTGAGCATCTGTTAGGAAGCCTTCGTCAAGGACCTGAAGGAGCAACGAGGAGATATCCTTATGAGCCTAATATAGAACAGTCAGCGCTCGACCTCACCCATGGGTGATATCAGACAAGCCTTTTCAAATTCATCGAATAACAGGACTGCATGAGGCTTTCTTCTGACGGCTTCTGTCAATTGACCCGCATCTTCGTAGCCGATATAACCAGCTGGGCTTCCAATCAACCGACTGACGGTGTGTTTTTCCTGAAACTCGCTCATATCGAATCGGATAACTACGGTCTAGCTCGAGAATAAGGTTGTCACCAACGCTTTGCATAATTCTGTCTTTCCAACACCCGTGGGGCCTAAAAACATGAAACTGGCGGTGGGGCGATGATCCATAGCTAATCCAGCGCGCTGAAGCCTGACGGCATCAGCAACCGCCTTGAGGGCGTCGTCCTGTCCACGAACGGACTGGCGAAGAGCGTCCTGGAGATGCACTAGTTTCTCAGCTTCCCCAGACATAAGGTTGGTGGTAGGAATGCCCGTGGCTTTAGAAACAACATGAGAAATATCGTCTAGGCCCACCGAATCATGTATAAGTGAGCCCTCACTCGCTTCGCCATCCTTGGGAAGCTTGGCCTCTGGTTCGAGAACCCTCGCGTATTGTAGCATAGAAGCTTTCTCGAAGTTGGCTTCTCTTCGACATATCTCAAGTTCAACCCTGGCGTGCTCTAACTCCCCCTTTGTATTTTTTATCGCCTGGAGCCCGGCCTTCTCTTCTTCCCAAACCTTCGTGAGTCCCTCGACCATTGCCTTCTTTTCTTTCAAAATTGCTTCAAGCTTATTCCTTCGCTCCTTAGAGGCCACATCCTCCTCCTTCCGAAGCGACTCAAGCTCAATTCTCAGTGTCAAAATTGCACGATCAAGTTCCTGAATTTCGTCGAGACGTGACTCTTGCTGAAGCCTCAATGCCGAAGCAGCCTCATCGACTAGATCGATGGCTTTGTCGGGTAGGAAACGATCGGTGATGTATGTAGCGGTTCGATAGTGTGGCCGCGGAAACAAGCGCGTTATCGGTAATTCGGACACCGTGATGCACTTCATACCGATCCTTGATCTTATTGGGAGGTGGTAAGCGGCGAAATCACAAAAAGGAAAGGAAATGAGTGCTCATCTCATACCCTCGAAGTATACTGATCGTATCCTAAACACTAGGCTCATCAACAAGGATAGGTTGAAACCTCCGAGCTAAAGCCACATCCTTCTCGATTTGGCGATATTCATTCAATGTTGTAGCTCCCCAGCACTGAAGCTCTCCACGACTCAGTTGAGGCTTGAGAAGGTTGGATGCATCGACCGAACCCTCTGCCTTTCCCAGGTCAAGCAGTGAATGAAGTTCGTCAATGAAAAGGATAACCTTCCCATGAGCTTCAGAAACCTCTTCCAAGACACCCTATAATAAAACGATGACCCTGTTAGTTTGGTGATGCTTATTGGAAATGGAGGGACAAAAACCTTAAGCCTTTCTTCAAAATCACCTGTGAACCTAGTTCCGGCAATCAGCTGTCCTAAATCCAAGCTTACAATCCTTTTATCCTTCATACTTTCAGGCACCTAGCCACTGACATTCCGCGGCGCAAGGCCTTCTAGAATTGTAGTCTTCCCAGTTCCTGCCGAACCAATTAGGACGGGGTTGTTTTTCGTCCCCCTTGACAATACTTGGATGGTCCGGCGGATTTCTTCATCACGGCCAATGACAGGGTCCAGTTTCCCATCTCTAGCACGAGCGGTCAAATCTGTGCCAAATTGTTCCAGTGGTGGTTGTTCTCCTATGACTCGAGTTAGGCGTACGGAAAGGGACTTCTGTAAAGTTTTCTTACCCATTCGATGTGCCCCACCTGCAGCATATCGTCTTGTCGCAAAAACTGGCGAGCCTCCAAGAAAACTAGGAGTACTTAATCCAATTAGTTGAGGTAAATTTGACCCATTCCTCGCACATGCTCGTAGGTTTGCATTTTAATAGCCGGTCGAAATGTCCGGATAATTACTCGTGATTTCGAGAGCATTTTTGGGCACACGCATGCTGTTGTTGTTGCGGAGAGGTATAAAGAAATAAAGCGATCGCGGGAGGTGTGAGTGAGACAGAAATTCTATGACTTGATATCCCGGGCTCGACATTGTAGATTTTTCTGAAGTCTTGTTGAGGATCTGTGAGGTTTCCTCAAATTGACGCAATCACGCCAGATCGAAACGGTGGTAGCCCCGAGAGGCTACCGGGTTACCGGTGGTGGCTGTTTAGGCGAGGCTGAAGTACTGGACTGTACTCTACTATGCGAGACTGCTAACTATAGAGAAAACAAAAATGCTAGGGAATGTGCCGGCTTAACTAGCCTGTAGGGGTCGGAACCAGAAGTGGTGAGCAGTTAATCCCACGTTTACCTCACACCCGAACTAATCCTTTCCCCCTCATCTATCCCCCCTTCTCCACCGACCCCCGTGAAACTACCGTACTCAGGATACGCCCCGAAAGTAATCGTGGGCACCGGAGGCTGGGCCCACCTCACCTCCCCGCTCACAACAACCACATCCCCCCTCCTTATCTTAACCACCAATGACGCTTCCTCCCCAATTCCCGTGATGAGAAGCGCCTCGCAACCCAACGAAACACTGATCAAAGGTGTAGAATTCACCTCCGGAATAGAGTGATGAAGCGCCGTCATCCCCCAGGGGGACTAGATATGGACTACGGCCGCCGGTTCCGTGATCCTAAACGGTGGTCTCACGGGTTCCGTAATATCTAGGTGTAATTGCGGCGGCAAGGAGGAAATCAGCAGGGTCCCTTCTCAGCGGGCACTCGTAATCCCCAGGAAGCGGCACCCACCGGAGGATTTTTTTACCGAGCATACGGTCCACAGGTAAGTCTTAGCAGTCGACCTTGGGACCAACCGTACTACCGCTAACTCCCCGGTCTCTACGAGTAGTTACGTTCTTCGCACCCGAATATCCTCATGCTTACCTCGGAGAGTACCGGTAATACCCGATCTTAGTACCAAGTATCATAGCAAAGCTGCGGGGTACGTACATTACTTACCATCTCGCAGCCGTTTCCGTAGTGTGAAGTCTCATCCCAACAGTCCCTCTGGAAGAGGAGGATGGTTAATATTAGTGGGGAGTGAGTAAGGAATGTTAAGGGGACATGCGGCATGCGTAATAATTGTTGGGCTCCATGCCCTGAAATGCGCAACTGGTACTCCTGGCTGTCGGAGCGAACAATCGGTCTCCGGAGAAAAATAGGAAAGTGGGATTATTATAGCATGAATTCTGAACAACAGATTGCAAACAATTGCTGATACCGGAGGAAAATAGGGGTAAAAGAAATAAAGATAATAGAAATTATAAAGCACAAAAATAGGAATAAGAATGCGATAGGCTAAATTTAATTCAGCAAAGCTAGTGTCGGAAGCTGTGGGTTCAAATGCGGGCGATGGCAAGTGGGTTGGGACCTGCGGGTGTAACGGGGGCTCCCCTAGGAAGATGGATCCTAAGGATGGGACCTCACCAAACTTCGAATCTCTCAAACACAGCTCTTGCAAAGTGTAAAGAATAAATGTAAATAGTAAAACATAATTGTTGAATTTTGTAATTCGTTTCATATGTATATTCTCCTTGATAATATCGTTTATTTCTCTAGTTAGTATTTTTTCTAGATACGGACATTACTACAGCTGGAGTATGTATTACATATATTTCATGTAATATTTCATGATACGATTAGGGGATTATGGCGTGCTTTTCTTATCTGGTGTTCGGGATTATTTCTTACATTTTATGCATCATCATGCACGGTCAGCAGTCATTTGATTTACAATTATGTTTTAATTATCCGTTCACACCATCTTAGATTTACGCATGTTTTATGGGATTTCCTTGGCAGTTCTTTATGGTCAAACACGTTCGCACTTATGTTTTTCCTACCTATCTTATAGTCAAATGCGTCGCCACTTATGTTTTCCCTCATATTTCCTCTTAGTTATGCTGTTAGGGGGTAGGTAACTCTAAGGTCAAGCAAGTATACACTAGGCCCTGTAATCTTCTATCTGGGACATAGTCAAGAAGGCTCGTTTAAGATAGAAGTAAAGTACAACGAATATATTGATAAGATCTCTTCTCCGGTCGCTGATGATAGAATAAAAGCTCGGGAGGCACCACGGTATTTATAATGCATGCCTGGGTGGTCGCGCCCTACATCCAATCCCTTACTGACTATGTACCTGCCATACTAACGATTCAGTGTCTTTGGAGTGCGAACACCCTTTGACCCTGAATGCTAACTTCCCCGCTCACTTCCTAAGCGGAGTGATCAGCTCCGTCAAAGGACTTATCAATGACTCTTCCATGTGCATAGCTTAGAGTACATGATGAAGATAACTAACTCGACTAGTAAGTTGTTATTAACCAATCATCAACTAGTCTCTGGATGACTCTAGTTGACGCGAGCAGAGGATGGTGCGGCTACTTCTCGGAATAGCAGCACCAAGACTTCCACAGGTCATAGCTCGATAACTAACCGACCAATCTGGTTCAACTAAGTCTTATCTTATAGAGCGGAGCTCCTTCTATGTTATCCAGTGAAAACCCCATGGTTGCATGCCTCACATCTCCGTGGAGTAGGCTGCATAGATGCCTTATTGTTTCGTGCGATAATACAATACCGTCACGATAACTGCTGCGGGGCCCGGAGTCGAACACGTGACCTTATGCATTTAGTCACATGCCGCACCGATTATGCTTCTATGTGTAACATTAGCTCCCTCCTCCTCAAGAATCATCCTCAAGTCTTTTTTTGTGTCTAGTTCTATCTATGGTACAAAGTAAGGTCTAAATTTATTTCCAGTTAGGACTCTGTCTAGGTAGGGTAAAAAACCTTTGCGCATTTACTTGTCCACACCTAGGAAAACCTTTCCTGACCATCCTACCGCAGCTGTGGCATTTCCGGGTTGTCTCTGTGGAATTCCTCCACTAAGTCAGCAGCATGTTCCAAATGCTCTGGCGGTTCCCAGGTGTTTTCATCCTCCTAACAGCCTCTCTATTTAACAAAATATTTGAGTTCTCGGATACGCTTATTGCATCCGGAGACTCTCTTCATATAGGAGAGAATTCCGCTTTTAACAATTTTCTCTACCTCCCATTCCAGATCGCCATTGATCTCTTCTGGTGCCTGTGGTCTCTGTTCCCTTCCTGGTCGAATCGACGTTCGGTAGGGTTCCAGTAGCGACACATGAAATACGGCGTGGATTTTCCACTGGCACCGTTCCGAAATCTCCAACTTGAAAGCCCGATCTGCTCGTTTTTCGAGTATTCGAAAAGGTCCATAGAGCTTAGGGCTAAGCTTCTTTGAAGGGCGCTTGGTCCGAATGTTTTTTGCGTTTAACATTACTCGGTCTCCGACCTTAAAGTCTGGTTGTTTTTTGACTTTTGGGTCATAGTATTTGCTCATTGCTTCGCAAGTAAGTTGTAGGGTGTCTCTGACTTGTTGGTGGATTTCCTTCATCCAGTGGGCGTAGGTTGTTGCTCCTGGATTCCGTACTTCTCTTTCCTGCATCCATTCCGTCTGTGGATGGTAACCATAGTTTGCATAGAATGGGGTTAAGCCGTACGCTTGGGTTACCGAATTGTTGTAATCCTGTTTGGCTAAGGGGAGTAGAGAACACCAATCATCGTGATCGTAGTTAACGAAGCTTCGAAGGTAACCTTCCAGTACTTGGTTGGTTCTTTCGGTTTGTCCGTTGCTTTGTGGATGATAGGCAGTTGACATTCTCCTCTTAATTCCTAGAGAAGTGCACAGTGATTCCCAAAGTTCTCCTGTAAACTTGGCGTCCATGTCTGAAATGATTTCGGTAGGCAACCCGTGAAGCTGCCAAACTTCTTGTACAAATGCGGTTGCCAGATCTTTAGCGCTGGCAGTTCCTGGTAGCGGAACAAAGTGGGCCATCTTGGTAAATCGATCAACCACAACTATGATTTAGGTGTTGTTGTTCGATGGAGGAAGTTGAGTAATGAAGTCCGTGGAAATAGAGCTCCATGCTGCGAAAGGTATTTGTAAT